AAAATTCCATTTTGCGAAAAAAACCTCATAATCGTGTTTCTGGGGTTGAACTATACTACCAGTTAAAATATTTGCACTTATTTCTGGGACACCCTGTATTTCAGAAATCTGCTTAGCCCGATTTTGTCGTGTTAAGCCACACCCAAAATTCCAAACACATGTGCTTGGATTAAGGCTCAATAATTATGGTTTGCAGCGCTTCATGATCAGCATTTGCCATAAAATAGCGAGTAATTTGTTACAAAACCATATAAATTATACTTATATCACTGTAATCACAAAACTTTGCTCTATTTCCGTATTGTAACGGAATTTTAAATTATGTCTTTATTTTCGAGAAAATTTAGTCCAAACATAAGGAATATTTTGTTGATGTTTGACCATCAAAATCTTAAAAATAAAGCAGTTGTCTAAAAATGTGCTACAATACGGATATAGTATAACCCTTTATCTTTAATTTCCTTCTTCATTTGTGTAAAAATAGCTAGCCAGTTTTAAATAAAACGTTAAATGCCGAACGCTTATTTTGTTACTTTTTCGGAATAGTGAAATGGGCTCTTAATAGTTTAAAAAATATAATTCAAAGAATGACATAAGACAGGTACATCACTCCTTCTCTTGTTCTTTATTCATCATAAACGGAGTCAGTATAGTCTCTTCCAAAATTGAAAATTGGCCATGCCATGCCATAGTTCAATTATTACGAACGGATTTAAATATAAATATCCTTTGTCATAATAACATGACGTGACAAATTTGTGCTATGTTGAACTTGATTTTTGATTTTGTTCGGAATAAAATAAAAAATACTTGCTTTTATGGTTCAATGACTATTAACAACTATACAGTTCCTACAGAGTGAGCCCAATATATTATGACGAAATTTTATAATGCAAACCGAAAAAAAAACAATGCTACTTTTTTTAGATATTTATATTTGTGACTAAAAAAATTATGTTACTATTTTTACAGAATAGACGGATAATATTGACTAAAGAAGTTCAACAGATTATTGATCTAATTCTGGGGGGGCCTGTAAAACACGACTATTCCCAAAGTTATACCGAGTGAGTCTTAAATAAGTGCAAATATTTTTAGAGGTACATAGTATATTTCGACCCCAGAGACAAGTCTGTGACGTTTCTTTGAAAAAATGAAGATTTGGAATTTTTTTTTAGTTAAAAAACATAATTCCTTGATTATATTATGTCAACATAGGTAGTAAATTAAAATTACAAGAAATCCCGAAAAGATCCAGCGGTTCTCAAAATTTAAGGAACATTTTTTTTAATTTTCAAAGTAAAATAACTCGGATATTTTAGAATTATTTGAAAAACTTTAAAGAGAAAATATATGTTTCATTTATTGAAATCTACCAGCCCTGAAAATATTTGCACCTATTTAAGACTCACCCTGTAGGATCCGGTAGACTGCCACGTGTATATTTTAATTGGACATTGGAAATCTAATTTTGGTTTTGGGTATAGTCAATACATTTATGGGATAATTTTGGATCAGAGCTTTGGGGATATGATTGAGCTAAATTATAATTCCTCTTAACTTCTTCTGTTTGCAGATAACTTATAGTCACAATTAAGCCTAGTTCAGAAGTCCACTTAAGTCTGTGGGACTCAGTTTCACCATTTCGTTAAATTATAAGATAATCGGGATTACGAGGGGTGTCGGAAAATGAAACAATTTGAAATTCGCTTTGTAATTAGGAACTCAGAGGGCTACAATGTGTAACATCTTTAGTCTCATAAAAAAGTAGCAGTGAAAACCGCATCTTTGTACCTCTACCCATAAACAAGAAACCCTGTAAAATACTTGAGAATGGGACACCCCGTACATCCTGAATCTTTGGTAATTTTTTTATGAATGCTATTTTACAGTTATGGCATTTACTATTTATTTATTTCTTAAGCTTTTATATAATTTATTAAAGATAACATTTAATTCCTAGGATCCGCCCAATAATTTCAGGGAAAGATATTTATAAAAATATAATACATGATATAATATTTTCTTTATAGTTCTAAAATTTATATTCTACAGGAAGCAGTGATCACATTATGTTTATAATTTTATTAAATCATTTATAAAATTGACTAGGGAAAATTAAATACTTATAAATATAAGGGAACAGATGGTTTCCACATTTCCACATTACACACACTAGTTTTTTGTGAGACAACAGAAGTAGATTTCCAATCTACTAAGAGGGGTATTATTAAAAAATAGAACATTTTGTAACAATGGATGATAATTTTGTTCGATTGCAAAATTTAAATGAGTAATGATAGTGTTATTATAAATTGTTTAGATAATTACAGACAATTTTTCTACAAGTATTTGTACATAATTGGGGATGAATTGAATATGAAAAAGGAACTCTTACAATATCCTGAATATTGTAATTTTTGAAAATGTCATTACTGACAAATTTCAAAATAGGATTTTATAGATATTGATATGTGTAGTAAACAGAGGTAGTAAATAGAATGTTATTATAGAATAACATTGACTTATTAAACACTAAAAATTAATAAAAGATACATGAAGGAAGAATCTTGCATTATAAGAATACAATAATTATGCGATTTTAAATATATATTTAATAAAACCAGAATCTGTCAGTAATATTTTATTCAATATCCAAACAAATTATCTTTGATTGAAACCGAAATTGAAACCTATTTAATCTAACAAGTACCATTAAAATATCATGAACCTGATAAATCTACATACATTTTGAAATGTATCGAATAAAAATTCAAATTCAGAATACGTTAAATTTCGTAAACAATCTCTAAATATATATTTGAGTAAATTTCCGCTCAAAATTGGAACTGCTTATTTTATTTTAACTATTATTTTGGTTTATTATAATAGTAACACACCTTGGTTTATTCTTTTTCACAACGAGCTTTATTAAATGGCATGAATTTATATTTTGATATGGGTACCCAGAATAATTGGAATTTATATAGTAGAAAACTGAAAAAGTTGTACTCGGTAAAAATACTTTTTGTTTCGACATTTACTAAGATAAAGAAGACTATCCTTAGTATAGTCATCTTACTTATACTGTGTTATTATTTAAGTAATAATTCAAGTTATCTCACTATTAATCGATAATAAAGAATAGGAAAACATTTTGGTACAACATAGCTTATTTACTACAAATTATTATAAGAATTATAAAGATTTTCTAAAAAGACTAAATATATAATGAAAACGAAATAACAGCATATAAAACATGACGTCTGGGTCCTAGAGCAGATTTAGGAACCACAAGGCCATAAGCTTTGTTTTCTCTGACGTTGAAGACAATAATCGATCTTGCTGCGGCATCAGTGATATAAACAGAAGGTTTTCCATCAGTTCCATAGTCTACTGCGAGATATTGCAACCTGGAACCTTGCACCACTAATCCAGATAAATCCACAGTTTTTATTTTACTTCCGGTAAGTCAATTCGTAAATTGTAGGCTACAACTTTAGGTTGACACTTCTTAATTGGTTTGGTTAAAACTTTCAATTAGTGATGTTAAATCTAAATAATAAAAGATTACAACATTGCTGGTATTATTTTTTACCTGGTTATGTTTAGAAAAAATACTAAAAAAATCAAAAATATAAAGGCTAAAATCTTTATTGACTCAATAAATAATATTACAATTATGCTTATGTACAACCAATCATTAATGCGACTCTTTGAGCAGCACCACATCCTACTGTTCCAGCCAAATAATCGGGAAAATTACTTTCCAACACTCTCATTCTTAAACGTCTGGCATCTGGCAATACTTGAGTAGATAGGTAACAACTGGGAGAACTGTACACTAACTCACCACCAAGAAAACTTCCTTGATTTCCATCCCATCTGTAAATTTCAGATCGGAACGATGTCATACGCTTTTGTGAGGTCAACAAAGAGCAGATGTACATCTCTATTGGTTGCCACTTTTTTTTCATTTATATGGACGAGAGACCAGAGTGAATATATGGTCCATACACGATCGTCCCGTACGGCCTGTTCTTCTACCTCATACGGTGCATACTCCCTTTCAATTATTTCAATTATATTTCGCAGTATCTTTCCATATACTCTACTCATAGTATAATTGGAGCATTCATCTCTTTTTCCCTTTTTGTGGATTGGTGTTATCCACACTTCTTTCCAAGTTAGTGGTATTGGCTCACCGTTTATATATCTTGTCATTAGTTCTTTCAGGTGCAGTATTAATTTATATGATCCGTTTTTTAATAATTCTGCTGGTAATCCTTCTGGTCCTGACGCTTTTTTATTTTGCATGGATTTTAGTGCTTTTTGTATGTTATCCTCATCGATGGTTATGTATTTTTTTGTATAGTGCAATGTTTAGGGGAGTATAAAATGTATTTTTCTCTGTCTTCTTTTAGTTCTTTTGCGTAGTGTTCTTTCCATTGTTCTATAGGTATCAAATGTATTGTGAGATGTTTCTTTTCTTAACGTTCGGATCAGATTCCAGGCTTCACACGACCTCGTTCCACCTATATAGCAGTCAACTTCTTTGCATTTCCTATCCCAGGTCTCGTTTTTGTTGTTAGGTGAACACTAAAATGTTATTTCCACAACCTTTTTGAACTAAAGCAGCGTATAAAACGTCACGTCTGGGTCCTAGGGCAGATTTAGGAACAACAATGCGGTAAGCTTTGTTTTCTATCACTTTGAAGACAATAATCGATCTTGTTGCGGCATCAGTGATATAAATAAATGGTTTTCCATCAGTTCTATAATCAACTGCGATATACTGCAACCTGGAACCTTGCACCACTAATCCAGATAAGTCCACAATTTTATTTTACTTCCGGTAATCAAACTATAGACTACAAATTTAGAGTGACATATCATAATGGATTCGGTTAAAACATTCACTTAGTAATGTTAATATAAATAATAAAAGATTACACTATAACTCGTATTCTTCATTACTTGGTTATCTTTAGAAAAAACACTAAAAAAATCAAACATATGGAGGCTAAAATCTTTATTTAATCAATAAATAATATTACAATTTTTATGTACTACCAATCATCAATGCGACTCTTTGAGCAGCACCACATCCAACTGTTCCAGCCAAATAATCGGGAAAATTACTTTCCAACACTCTCATTCTTAAACGTCTGGCATCTGGCAATACTTGAGTAGATAGGTAACAACTGGGAGAACTGTACACTAACTCACCACCAAGAAAACTTCCTTGATTTGCATCCCATCTGTAAATTTCAGGTTTCCCTTCGTACCTGTAGAAAATAGCTGTACCTCCGTCTGTACCTAACAGTATTATTCTTCCGTCTTTTGCACCTAAATCTTCTATTTTTCCTGATGCAGATCCAGATCTGAGATACTCGGTTTTGATGGAGAATATTCTACTTCCTGACAGGTAGGTGAACACTAAAATGTTATTTCCACAACCTTTTTGAACTAAAGCAGCGTATAAAACGTCACGTCTTGGTCCTAGAGCAGATTTAGGTACCACTATGCGATAGGCTTTGTTTTCTATGACATTGAAAACAATGATCGATCTTGTTGCGGCATCAGTGATATAAACAAAAGGTTTTCCATCAGTTCCATAGTCAACAGCGAGATACTGCAATCTGGAACCTTGCACCACTAATCCAGATAAGTCCACAGTTTTTATTTTACTTCCGGTAAGTAAATTATAAGCAACAACTTTAGGATGACACTTCCTAATGGGTTCGGTTAAAACATTAACTATTCCGGAATTCAGCGCCCACAAAACCCCATGGATATCTACGAATATATCCACTATGGAATGTAGACCATCGGTGTCGTTTTGGTTTTGTGCTTCCCAATTGGGAAAGGGTGTGAGCACGGCATCACTGCATATGGATTTAACGGCAACTTTAGCTAAAGTGGCTGGATTTCCAGGCTTGAACCTCGGCAAAGCTACGTAGATGTCGTCTTTGTAGATTTGGCCTCTTGTGGCGATCACATTTTGAGGGATGTAGCTTCCGTTTTGAATGGCCATGAATTCGGCGTCTTCATTTGGAAATTCGTAACTTCCCCCAGTCCATTCTAGGATATCGCAGGAACATAGTACGCATGCCAGTAGCGTTAAAGAAATGAATAATACTCTTAATATCATGTTTCCTAAAAATAAAAAAAGGAATGTTATTATTAATTGATCAAAACAATAACAGAGTTATAAAGATTCTTTTTTTAAACCATTAAAAAAGTTAACAAATGTTTAGTATACAACAAAATTTTGAAAAAAAATTGCAACTTACCTGGGTGAAATATGTACAAAAATGGCAAAGTATAAACTTTATTTTGAGCTATATAAATAACGTTTTGTTGTTTTGATAATATCAACGCTGTCCGATGTCAGTGACTTCCTTTGTTTTAAACTATATTTGATATTCGTAGGACTGTTAAAGACAGATTGAATAAGTTCTCAGAAAAATAACTAATTAAGGAACTAGTGTCATGTTTTCAAAATTGTCACACCTTCGAAATTGTTTTTACAAAAATATATATACAGAATGTCCCAATATTCCGTGGAGATAGAATTACTAAGTATTTTACGAATCAAAATAAGATAATTAAACACAATTTACTTCTATACATAAGACATATTATACATACATATACACTCTATACATATATATAATATTATATACTACGTTTCTTTTATGCAAACAATAGGCTATCACAACGTCAATGGTTTAAAAAGACGCATTTATGCTAAATAATTAAAGTTGTTCAATAAAGAGTTAAATTTGGATATTTGAAATAGTTCTTATATATTTTATTTTGTTTTTTTTTGATAGGGGGAGATATACTATAGCCCCCGAATAAAAATTATTTAGGCATATTTCTTTACAAGTAAATGGCACTAACAAGCTGATTCCCGTTTGGATACTAACGCAGTAATTTTTCCACAATAAATTTTATCAATGCCACCCAATGATTTTTCAATCGTATTTTACTATTGAAAGAGCCATATGAAATAATACTGCGTGTATCTGCAAAACTATTAAAAATTTTGAAATACTTAAAATGCAAAAAATATTCATTCTTTAACTCTCCATCTAATAAAAAATAATATACAGGGTGTTCCATTTAAAAAAAAACAAAGAAAAAATATCTTATATTTTAGAAAGTTTGGCGTAGAATATTGAACATCCTGTATGATTTACGATTACCATATTTATAGCAAAGTAAGAACAGACCATTTAAAGTAAATACCTAATATAGTTTTGATTTCAGAACAGTTCTTGTATTTTTAATATTTATTTAAGAAGGCCTGAAAAATGTAGATTTTTGGTTTATTTTTTAATATCTCTGATACTATCGAAATATATTTACTTATATCTTAGGATTATGTAAAGTGATCTGAAAGGAAACCAAAAATGCAATAATATACAGGGCGTTCCATTTAAAAATATCATCCAGATCCACCCACACTATTTTGAGCCACCCTATAGAAGTTGAAATATTTTCCTGAAATACATCCTCGTACATACTTTATTAAACAAACTTCTCAAGTTTTTTATTCTAGGAGCTACAGATGCCCAACGCACTATTGCCGGACCCTGTATATCGGTGTCCAAAAATTAACAGAAATAAGTTTTTAAAAGTTTTTACCTAATTATAAAATAGGTAAAATACACGAAATGTGGTGACTAAGGTTTCCAATTTTCGGGATCCTATTTTGAAATCCCGAGATTGGAACCTGTAATCCCGGGACCCCGGGATTCCGAGATTGACTATCAGAATGAGAAATTAAGCCTTTTTTTAAGAAGTTTTTTTAAACGTGCGAGCTCTGACGGAATTTACTCGCACGACTATTTTATTTTAGTGGTTACATTACGTTTATGGCGCGTTTATGGTGTCCTATGTGTCGAGTTTACTACTTTGATGCTGTGCCTGTGTGAGGATATAATTAAAATAACTACTCATGAAAAGAAGAAAATGTTGGGTAAATGATTTACATATAGGCAAGAAGAGGAGAAGAAAATGAATATGTAAAACATTGCGTGGATTAAAACAACAACCGGTCAAATTTTTTTAATATTTTAGGATGTCTCCATCAACATTAATATATCCCAAATGAAATTAAACCTAGTAGGTATTCAAAAATATTCAAATTTTTCGGGAATGTGTTGAGATCAGAGAAGAAAAATTTGAACGCCCGGACGTGCACGTATTAAAAAACAAACCAGTTTGTTTTCATCCGACCAACGGAAATTGTCGTACGTACACGTGTGCGCAAACTCCAATGCAATGTAACCATATGTAACCGCCTGCGTAGATAGCATTTGTTTGTTTTTTGCTGCGTGCACGTCCGTGCACGTACGACCAAAATAACGCACGGACAAGCATCCAATGTAACCCAGTGGCGCATCTAGAGATTGAGTCTGGGAGGGGTAGTGTGAATATTAAAAAAAGTACTAAATTTGAATTAAATTTTTGCTGGAAGGTATTGTTAACTGTGGAAAAAAATCTCCTTGGATTGGTTTGGATATTCTGTTTTAATTTGTATTATTAACTTTTTTGTAACAATTTTATTTTATACCAAATTTTATCTTATTAATTAATTTCTTTCTGAGAGGGGTAATTACCCCCATTACCCCTCCCGTATATGCGCCCCTGATGTAACCACGGGCTTAATCTAAAGAAAAACTTAAAATACAGCTACATATATCAAAAAGAAAATAAGAAAAGAGCTTTATTAAAATACACAAAGTAACATTCATTTTTAGTGATAAAAAAATCAATTCTTGTTGAAAAAAATAAAACATAGCAAACAAAGAAATATAACTTTGAAGATATTGCTGCGCAACAAAATTTGATCGTATTTTCAAACTTCAAAAGAGAGCAGTTCGATATTTAATGGGACTGAACAGTTGAACTCACTGCCAGAATTTCTTTAAAAATTTCAAAATACTGATTCTTCCTTCTTTATTCATTTTTGAATCCGTTTGCTTAATCCGTAAGCACATATCTGCTATTCCCGAAAGGCCATCTCACAACTATCCACTTAGAAATGCGGAGCACGATCTTTATCTGCCAACCCCGAGCTCAGAACTAGTTAAAGGCTCAATACTGTACAATGCCAAAAAATGTATAATCATCTGCCTTTGATTATCAAGTCGCTTTCATTCTTTCCGGCATTTCGCAAAGCTCTAAAATCATACTTACTGGAGAGAGCCGTATATGCGGTAAACGACTTTTTTGTTGATGTTTAATCATGAACAATTTTGAATTTTAAAATTTTGATCATCTCACACACTGGTCATAAGTCGAATATTTAATATTTTATTCAGACTCGTCTTTAATTTGATTATTATACATGAGTTTATGAAATAATAATAATATTCATTATTCACTAGTGAATAATGGTTTCATTATTCACCGCTTCCAAGGATATCTCGATCCAATTTAATTTTAATTCTCGATACATTTTTTTTATCTCGATTTAATTTATTTTATTATTTAATTAGTTAAAGCTAAATTAGTTAGCTACCTAGTTAAAGAAAATTTCAATGTTTTGTTTCCATGTTACTTACTCGTTATACTCGTTCAATTTTTACATTAAAAATAAAAACTTATATTAATATTATCTAAATTTTTTTGATAGTCCTGGATAAAGTATAGTATTCTACTCGCACATAACGGCTGTTATTCACTTGGAACTTCATCCGCGTGAATAACAGCCACCATTATATGCTCCGTTGAATAATATACTATTATAACTCTTAAAATTATATCCATTTACAATTTTCCTATTGTAAAATTTTATTGATATATTATTATATTCTATTTGTAACTTTAATGACTTAATTTTTTTTGAATTGTTTGATTTGTATTGTATATTTTTTGTGCTTTTGTTTGTTTTGTAAGTGCTTTGCCGATGAAGCTATTTTGGCTTTTTGCACAATAAAGCGTTATTTTTTTCTGTTTAGTATAAATAAAATATGATTTTTGAAAGATTACAGTGTATAAAGTCGAACCATTTTAGATTAGGCATTTAAATATTTTGAGATTTTCAGGATTTAATATCGGTATTAACCATATACCGGGATCCCGGGATTACGGCATCCCAGTTTTAATAAGTTTTCCGGTTCTCGGTTCATAAGATCTGGAATTTTGAGAAGTTGAAGGAATATGAAGATTTTTTAAGGCTCCGTTGAAGAAATTCGCTCGAAAATTTCTGCAGATGGCGGTGTTTTGCGGCACAAGACGGCGCTTTATTATTGAAAAAACACCTAGCAATACATAAACGAGAAAAAAAAACACAATCAAGAATACTCTATTAATATACTGATGTTTCTATTAACATAATGATGCGGATAAATTATGTTCATATGTAAATATGAACATATGAACATACATATATTCAGTTTTGTTTTGAAAGATGGAACCTATTATGAAAATGAATCAACAATACAAAGAAAAACACAATCCCTTTCGAACCGAGATCTTACAAGGTCTATTTCCACGGAAAATAATTGTTTATTACTGCTGCGCTTGCATTTAAAAATGTTTTTTTTGTAAAAATTATTCACAGCTAATTGTTATTAAATAAAACTGCTTTTGATGCAAGAATGCGTAGATAATTTTTTTCTCATTTCATAATTTTTCTATATTATGTTTGTCACACGTACTATAATAAAACGCAGCTAATGGAAACAATATACTATAAATTAAGTTAATAATATATAATTATTTTAGTAATTATTTTAAGTTTAGCCGGGTCAGCTAGTCAATTAATAAAAAAAATCCTTCTGATGAGAAGACCTTCTTTGTGACACTATACAGGGTCCGGCAATAGTGCGTCGGACATCTGTAGCTCCTAAGTGCACACCTAAAGTATGTACCAGGATGTATTTCAGGAAAATATTTTAACTTCTATAGGGTGGCTTAAAAAAGTGTGAGTGGATCGGGAATATTTTTCAAAATGAAACATCCTGTATTTTAAAGCATTTTTTGACTTCCTTTCAGATCACTTTACATAATCCTAAGACATGAGTAAATATATTTCGATAGTTTCAGAAAAAAATATATTTTTCAGTATTTCTTAAAGAAATTATTACAAATACAAGAACCTATCCTGAAATCAAAACTGTATTTACTTTAGGTATTTACTTTAAACTAAATACTTTTTTCTTACTACTTTGCTATAAAAATCTAAATCTTAAATCATACAGGATGTCCAAAATTCTATGCTAAACTTTCTTTGTTTTTTAAAAGGAACACATTAAAAATTTTTGCATTTAAAGTATTTCAAAATTTTTAATGGTTTCACAGATATTCGCGGTTTTATATTTCATATGGCATTTTCCACAGTAAATTTATATCAAAGCCACCCAATGATTTTTCTGTCGTATTTTCCCGTTGAAAAGCCATATGAAATAACTAGCGTGTACCCGCGACTTCGTTCGCGTCGAATTAATCATTTGTAATCCTCATCATATTCAAATCCTCTTGGAATTTGGGGTTCGAGAAACCCCTCCTTATCAAACCTCTACACCCCACAGTCAATCCGTTTGCCAAAAATCAGCTTTAAACGTCAAGCAGTTTAAGCAGAATTGTGATTACTCAATGGTCATATTTTATGAAACACCCTGTATAAATTTTTAAAAAATCTTAAAATATGTAAAACAACAAAATAAAATATACGTGTTTAAGAGTTTTTCCGAAAAACTCACCGGTTATTAAATAAAAAAAATATTCTAATATTTGAGGGGTGGTTTCACCCCCTTAGAATGCGAGTTTCGAAAAATCCCTTCTTATCGAACCTCTACACCCTAAAGTCAATCCGTTTTCCAAAAATTAGCTTTTTACGTCAAGCACTTTAAACAGGATCGTGATTAATCAATGACCAGCTTTTTCCAAACACCCTGTATACATTTTTAAAATATCTTAAAATATGTAAAAAAACAAAATAAAATATACGTGTTTAAGCGTTTTTTTTCGGAAACTTGGCCGTTTTTTAAATAAAAAATATTGTAATATTTGAGGGATGGTTTCACCCCCTTGGAACTGGAATTTCAAAAAATCCCTTCTTATCGAACCTCTACACCCTAGAATCAACCTGCATGCCAAAATTGAGCTTCTTACGTTGAGTGGTTTGAGCAGGATCGTGATTAATCAGTGAGTCAGTCACTTAAGGACTTTATAATTAGTATAGTGCGTGTATCTGCGAAACCATTAAAAATTTGAAATACTCTAAATACAAAAAAAATCATTTTTTAATTTTCAGTCTATTGAAAAAATAATATATATGGTCTTTCATTTAAAAAAAAACGACGAATTATTATTTTATATCTTAGAAAGTTTGACTTAGAATTTTGAACATCCTGTATGATTTACGATTACCATATTTATAGCAAATTATGTACAGACCATCTCAAGTAAATACCTAATATAGTTTTGATTTCAGGATAGTTGTTGTATTTTTAATATTTTTTTAGAAAGGCTAAAAAACAGAAACTTAAATAAGTGCAAATATGTTTAGGGCTGGAAGATCTTCATAAAAAATAATATTTTCTCTATGCCGTTTTTCAAATAAGTCCAAAATAACCGAGATATCTTACTTTAAAAATTCCAAAAAAATATTTTTCGCTTACATTTTGAGAATCGCTGGATCTTTTCTGAGTTTTCTTTCTTGTAAATCTAATCTACTACCTTTGTTGCCATTTTATGAAAATATTATGTTTCTTAACTAAACATTTAAAAAAAATCCAAACTTCCTAAAAAAAAATTGCGGAAAAAACCTCTTAAACGTGTTTCTGGGGTCAAAATATACCACCCCTAAAATATTTGCACTTATTTAAGACTATCTCTGTATATATTTTTGATTTATTTATTAATAAACTCACCGGCAAAAAAAAAACGGCCACTAAAACTAGTCCAAATTTCAAAGTTGGATTTCTCGCGAACCACTCATTAGATTTTGATGATTTTTTTTTTTAAATTGTGAATTAATTCTTTCTTTACGGATGCTACGTCAGAAATTTTTATTCCGAACTTATTTTGAGCATATACAGGGCACAACAATAACACGCTGTAGAGTGCAACAACTGTAGTAGCTATTGCTAAATATTACATTGTAGCCTCATCTTTTGTGAGCATTTTGTTTTTTTAATCACGACATTATCTTTGTTTGTATTGAAGATACGCTGCTTTAAAACGAACGTCTTGGAAAAATGCTTCGCAGGCAGAAAGTTTTATGTGTAAATAATCAAGACAACGTTTGTCAAATTAAAAACTGTCATTATCTGTGACGGATGTTGCTCGTATTGTGGCTTTAATTGAGGATGGCCGAAGTCAACGTTATGTGTCCGAACCATGGGTATATCTCGAACAACAGTCCAGGATGACTGGAATCGGTCTATAGAAACTGGAAATTTCACCAGTCGAGTGGGATCCAGAAGAAAACGGAAGACAAATGCAATTGACGACCGCTTTATTGTCCTGAATACTTTACGAAATCGTAGAATTACAGCGTTTCAGAACCAACATCTGCTACAAGCCGTGCGTAGAACTCAAGTCAGTGAGAGAACAATAAGACGAAGACTAAAAGAAAACAGCTTGTCTGCAAGGAGGTCTGCCACAGCTACTTCCAAGATATCGTCGAGAACGTCTTCAGTTTGCACGTTTACATGTGAATTGGGATATTGAGCAATGGACTAAAGTCCTTTTCACGGATGAATCGCAGTTTTGCTTGCGAAGCATTTTTCCGAGACTTTCGTTTAAAGCAGTGTATCTTCAGTACAAACAGAGATAATGTCGTGATTAAAAAAGCAAAATGCTCACAAAAGATGGACCTACAATGTGATTTGATTTAGCAATAGCTACTACAGCTACTGCACCCTACAGGGTGTTACAAAGTTCAGGCAAAAAATATCGTTTTATTGTTGTGCCCTGTATATGCTCAAAATTAATTCGTAATAATAATTTCTGACGTAGCATCCGTTAAGAAGGAATTAATTTACAATTCAAAAAAAAATCATCAAAATCTAATGAGTGGTTCGCGAGAAATCCAACTTTGAAGTTGGGACAAGTTTTTAGTGGTCGGTTTTCTTTGCCGGTGAGTGTATACCTGAAACTATCAAAATATATTTACTCATATCTTAGGACTATGTAAAGTGATCTGAAAGGAAGCCAAAATTGTAATAATATACAGGGTGTTCCATTAAAAAATTTCATCCCTATCCACTCTCGCTTTTTTGGGCCACCCTATAGAAGTTAAAATATTTTCCTGAAATACATCCTAGTAAATACTTTAGGTTTGCACAAAATTCCCAAGTTTTTTATTCTAGGAGCTACAGATGTCCGTCGCACTTTTGCCGGACCCCGTATAATCGTTATATTCTAATAAGTGTTTTAGCTCAAAAATAAAACCGTTAAAACCTCTTAAAAGTCGAACAAATTAAAATGCCAGCATTGCACTTTTTATACCAGGATTTCACGATATATCTACTTGGTATTTAAATTCATTCATTTTTTTCTTTCTAAAACAAAATAGCCTGATTAAATTCTTTTCAATTTCTTTCTTTTACCGGTCGAATGACTCTATAAACATAGACACGTAATTATTTTAAACAATTATTTCGAACAGCCGGTATTGTTTCGCTGGGTGTGGAATATCATGATTTTATTTGAACTTTTCTTTATACGGCCCAGCTGAACAATAAACCTGCTATTACTTCGAATTTTTGAGAAAAATAATTATTGTTTCCTATCAATTGCAAAAAAGTGTTTTAGATTGTTTTGATTAAAATGGCGCATAATACAATATAAGTTATAATTATTTTGTGTCTTTGTTTGTTATGGGTGAATGGACGTCATGTAGAAATACCAGGAAAGAGATGTTATTAATAATTAATGGAAAGCTATTTAGCAATGTTCATTCACCTGATGATAGAACGGTTAAATTAAAATAATAAAATAATTTTTTTCAAGGTTAGCGGAACAAAAATATTTTCGAATTGATTCTTTTCAATATCATAAACATTCTATAGAATATATACGACATACTCTAGAAACGATTATACTATTTGTCTCAAAATATAGGTAAGATTTGATTTATTTTTACTTTCTTTCTTCTAAAACTATCATTATTATTTTTTTAGATTGTACACGCTGTCAATGATGTTGAAACTGTTAGTAGTCATCAGCATTTTGTTAGCCACATTCACAGAATGTTTAACAGAAAATCAAGTTTTAGACCTGACTTTTAAGTTATCCGGAAACGATTTAGCCTTTCCTTGCACAAGCACCAAAAACATATACGCCAACACCGGAAGATGGGTTCCAAAAAACGTTATACCCACTAGAATTCAAATATACAAAGATCAAGCTATCGTGGCTCTACCTAGATATCGTCCTGGAGTCCCCTTCACCGTTGGTAGTTTTCCTTTGACTGCTAAACCAGGACGAGTTGCATTAGAACCTTTCCCTTGCTGGAGTATCCAAGAGGAAGGCAACTGTAATGCCATTCAAAATGCTATCGATATGGTTCTGGATCCGTTGGATAATTTGTGGGTTTTGGATTTAGGCATTTGTAATACACTAGAGCAACCAATCAAGAGATGTTCTCCTAAAGTATGGGGTATCAACGCAGAAACAGGTGAAGTGGTGAAAAGTATCAATTTAGAACCTTTTGTTACTGCAGAGAGTCGTATTCAGTATTTGGTAGTAGACTTCTCACCAGAAGGAGTACCGTTTGCTTATGTATCTGATGCTGGATCCTCTGCCATAATAGTTATCAACGTCCAATCTGGTACAGGGTTCAGAGTTATCTTGCCTAGTCCTATAAAAGATAGTGCCCAAATTAAAGATATTTTATACCTTCAACTAGCAAGAACAACATCTGGAAATGTTCTATACTTCAGTTATTTATCTTCTCCGGCTTTGTTCTCTATCAAAGCAAGTTCACTACAAACCGGTCAAGCAGATGGTGCTATAGTACATGCCGGTACCAAGCCTCCTGGTACACAAATAGTATTTTTGGGAACAGATAATGGATCTGGTCTACTTTTCAGATACAAAGGAGATTCCGATATTTACATTTGGAACTCGAACAAGCCTTTTATACCGGACAATTTCATTTTGGCGCAACGTGGAGGGTACTGCAGAATGGCAACACAAGTGGTACCTGGATGGAAGAAACTGATGTGGGTCATCGAAAGTAATTTCCACGATTATATTACTTCTACTACAGGTTGTCTTGGAGCAAATGTGGTTGTATATCCCTTAATTAACACAGAATAATATTTTGTAATATAGTTAAAAATAAATGTATTTTATTAAAGTATCACATCTAGATTTTATTTACTATAACTGGACTGGTGTTATAGTTTAGTTTCAATTGCAATTTTATACAGGGTGTTTCAATAAACATGTGCCTTTTCTCGTGGGGAGATTCCTCACGTAAAAATAAGATTTATTTTTCATATAAACATATGTAGGTCGGATTCGGCTTTATTTCGTAGCTACAGGGTGTTAAAGTCTTAATATTTTTTCGATTTATTATAATTTTTAGCGATTCGGATGAAATTTTGAGAGTAAAAGTTTCTATAAATGCGTAGCTACGAAACGAAGCAAAATCGGACATATGTTGATAATGAAAAATAGATCTTATTTTTACCAGGAGAGATAGCAGATGTTTTTTGGGACACCCTGTATAATCAATCATCAACAATGATCAAATATTAATCTTAAAATACAACTTTAACAAGCTTGTAAATATAAAAATACCATATGGTCAATAAAACGCCGTAAAGTTACCTTAGAAATTACGATTAATGACATTCTATACCGGGTGTTTTTCAAAAGCCGCTCACCCCTATAACATTTTTATTTTTTTTCAGATAAAAAAACGAGATTTGGTATGTTAGTATATATGACACCAATCAGGATTGATTGACGTATTAAATTAGTTTCGGCTACACAACTTTCGATTTTTAAATGGTACCTCGGTATTTTTTTTAATTTATTTGGTAGAAAATTAGCTTCTAAATAGAATGATATATTATGTCACCTTTTGGACATTTTTGGTTAAAAAAATAGTATTTTAAATTTCAATCTAGAGTGCAAAAAAGGCAATAAATGTAATAAGAATTTGACTCGAAATACCGTATCCTCGAAAAAAAAAAACGGCGTCAGCGATGGCTATGAAATGAAGATCGCTGTAAATTTATATAAGAAATGACATTGAATTGGTTTGGTTTGTTTTGTAATTTCCCAACTAACTGGACGCCGTTTTTTTTGTCCATACGGTATTAAGTATGTTGTACCAAATTATTCGTAAAAAAAATATTTTTCCAAATATGCTAATGAGTCATCCTCGTTCCATTTGAGAAAATTGATATATGATTAAAAATACGACTTGGGCATCTTTTAATCCGTCCAGAAAAGAAAATGACATTAGAGTATCAAATTTATGTTTCCAAGGCTATTTGATCAAAAATTAGTGATTTTAACACAGCCATGGCACTCCAGATTGAAATTTGAAATAATATTTCTTTTTAATTGAAAATGTCAAAAGTTGACATACATATGTTATGTCATTCTATTCAGAATGTCATTTTCTATCAAATAAAGTAAGAAGTATCTAGGGTACCATTTAAAAATAAAAAATTGTTAGTTATTTACGGTAAAACAGGAAGTGACTGAAACTAATTGAATCCGTCAATCAATCCCCATTTATGTCATATACTAAAATACCAAATCTCTTTTTTTATCTGAAAAATCTCGTGAAAAATTAAAAAAGTTATAGGGGTGAGCCGATTTGAAAAACACTCGGTATGTCAAATTACATGGCGAATATCATCAATGATCTCTAAGGTATCTTGACGCCCATTGTTATTTCGATAATACTATTATGTTGTCTACATTTCTCGTATTAATTTATGTACTAATTAAGGGTATTTATTAAAAGCTTACGAAACAGTGTACGATATTAAGTGTAACAATAATTAAAAAGTATCTTTCTTATAGGGGCCTCACAAATCTAGTGAATTTTTTCATTTAATCCATACTACCCAGCTGTTAATTATCAGTGATTTACTCTTATTAAATCTACGTAATAAAGACTTCCTAGACAAAAATAATTTCCTTAATCATAATTTCTTATTATGACCGGGTTTTCAAAACTGTAAGTTTTCTATTAATAATAAATAACTCTAGATAAAGTTTTTACTTATTAACTCCCAAACATAATATCTAATTAAATATTGCTAACCGTGAGATAAATCAATAAAGGCAACGAAATATGAGATAATATAAGGTGTTGTAAGTCTCTTGTTACATAAAATCTGATATTGTGTTGATAAAATAAGCAACAAGACGAAGTACAGAATTATGTCAAATGGAAATCTTAAGGCGTTTACCGTAAAGTGTATCGGATGTCTTTATCGAAAGTGAATTTAAATTGCAAGTGGGATGATGTGGCGGCCTAGCCTTGGAGCGACGACAAGAAATACGACATTTTTTCCTTACGGAAGAATGTAAACAATATTATTAAAATGTTTTTTTAACATGACTTTTTTATGTCCCTATAGAGGGGTAACAAATACAGGAGTTAGGCAGGGATGCGTCTTAGCGCCCCTACTATTCAACATATTCATGATAGCGCTCTCTAAGGTACATTCAGGCTGAGAGCGTCGCGTCCGCGTAGCGTCGAAATGGAATCAATTCGCTTAACTTAAATCAGGCCGTTCAGGCTGAAAGCGCCGAGTTTGGCGTTGCGCTAGCGTCCGTTGAGCGTCGAGCGTCAAGTTCAATCTGAATTGTTTTTCGGCGAAATTTGTAGCGTTAGATGGCTCGAGATCATCGAAGTCCAGGCAAGACAAGCACTTTGGGACGCAAAATTGTTAAAATATCTACATATACAGGGTGGCCCATCGAAAACGTTCCGCAAGGCATAACGGCCAGGGTATATTTTTTTTTCAAAAAATCCAAGAACACGTCAATTTTGTTTGTGAGGGGGAAACAACTTTTGACGCAAAAATGATTGCAAAATCTTTAACCCTCTAAGCGGGGGTGTCATCCCCCAACTTTTTTCAAATGGGAAGGGGAGTCAACCTCCATACAGTAATACAAATTATTTTCAAACCGTTCTCGAACATTCTGAAGAACTTGCGGGGTCACTTCGCGACCAACATCAATAATTCGTCTTCGCAGGTCTTCTAATGAGGCGGGTTAGGTTACTAGTGTTATACACTTTACTTTTTTTGTGTCCCCATAGAAAAAGTCTAAAGGAGTCAAGTCGGGTGACCGGGGAGGCCACTCAATTGCACCCCTTCGTCCTATCCACCGACCAGGAAAGTTATTATTTAAATAATTACGCACATTTTGAGAATGATGTGGAGGTGCACCGTCTTGTTGAAATATTAGTTCGGCTTCAACGTATCCAGGTTTGTTCTCTATGATGTCAGTTAGGGCTGGGTCGATGGTATTTTCCAGTAAATCCAAGTACATATCACCTGTTAGATTTCTAGGAAGAAAAAAAAGGACCCACAATAGAATTTCCAAAAATACCATCCCACACGTTCAATTTCTGAGGGTTTTGTGTGTGCACCTCGTGAAAAACCCTGGGGTTGTCCTCAGCCCAGTACCGACAGTTGTGCTGATTAACTACACCGTTCAAAAAGAAAGTATACTCATTCGAAAACACACACATTAAATAGGAAATTATTATCATTCGCCACTCGTTCACTCATAGTTTAGCAAAATTGCAAGCGACGGTCAAAATCGTCTTCGTTGAGTTCTTGTACCAACTGAATTTTGTACGGGTGGAACTTATTTCTCCACTTTTTCTGCATGTGAGTACATCATAATTGTTAAAAAGTTTAACAATATTGAGAAGAACTTCAACGCACAAGTCACAGAACAGCTATCTAGCAACTACCGCACCTGATCGTCCAACCTTGTGGCAAGTGAAAAAATGCGTATAAACATCTAGAAATAATAAGAAAAAACAGAAAATTGGCCGAAGGAATTTATCCTTATCATTTACTCTGATAAATGTTTAAATAAGCTTTTCAAATTTCAATCCTTCATATTTTCTCAATGACTCGACCAATTTTCAAAAACGAAGCGGGAAAGTATAGATAATAGAAAGCCCTTTTCATTGCGGTACCACTTGACCCCCCTTCCCATTTGAAAAAAACTGGGGGATGACACCCCCGCTTACAGGGTTGAAGATTTTGCAATCATTTTTGGGACAAAAGTTGTCCCCCTCGCAAACAAAATCGACGTGTTTTTGAATTTCTGAAAAAAAAATTACTCTGGCTGTTATGCCTTGCGGAACGTTTTCGATAGTATATAAAATGCTAATGTTTATCTGTGTCGTCTCTACTGAAGTAACGACTTGCTCTAGAAAGTTGTTTTTTTTTACTAAAAGATAGCTAATTGGCTCTTCTAAAAACTGTCTCGCCAGATTTTTTGTTTTTCATTTAATTAAAAAAAAAAGTTTTTTTTCTGATGTGGTTGCGGATGCGCCAGGGTTCAGCTAGTAGAGATATAAACGTGCGTAATCGGTTATTTAAAGAAATTATATCTATCTCTATTCTAAATTTTTAAAATTTTTCTAATATCTTTATTTAATTGTCTCTTTATTTTTTTAGGTAGGTTTACCGACTTTTTTGTATATTATTTAAATGCAGAATATGACGTTTCTAATAGTAAAATTAAATAAACCGCTCTCTTTAAAGCCATTTTACAAGCTAGAAATGTAAAAAAACAGTCTCACTAGACGCTTCCAGCCTGAACGACTTGACGTGACGCAAACGCGACGCGACGCTCGACGCCTGCACGTGCCTTTATAGTGGACAGCAAACTGCAGGAATAAGGAACGGGCATTAGATATAGATACGACGGCAGTCTGTTCAACATAAAAAAACTCACCGCAAAACATGTTTAAAATTCGTCAGAGAACTTCAATACGCTGATGACTGCGCTATAGTTGCAAAAACGTTACAGCAATTACAAGAAATGCTGAACACATAAATCTTGGCATACGAGGTACGAGGCTTTTGGCCTTAAGCTGAACATCGATAAAACTAAAATAATGTGCACTCCCCCGGAAAATCGTAACAATGCTATAAAAATCGGAGAACTATTGGAATATGCGGAATTCAATTATAATTCAGTTTGATTTCGGGAAAGGCCAATATCGACTCAAATTCGGCACAGAATTAGCAGCATCTCAAGAGCATTCTTGAAATTAAAAGACAGAGTTTTCTACAATCATGACTTGAGTACAAAAA